TATCCTCCCTTGCTGCCCGCAGTAGAACTTCATCTCTTTTGGCAGCTGAAAGGGGTTTTTCCAGATGTTTTCTCTTGTTGTCAATAATTTTGATCCAGAGGATGATGTTTCTGGTCCAAGACTTTCACAGCTGTTGGAACTTATGCCAAAACGAAGTTTTTCTGTAGCCGGACTTCCTTTCCAAATTTCAGCCAATTGATCATAGTGTTCTTGGACAACTTTTCCAGAACCAGATCTAGTGCCATTGATAACAGCTTTATTGTAAGCCTTCCTAATAGCACGGATTTTTTCTTTAATTCTATTGTAACCTTTCTTTATTTGCGACTTGGCCATTGATACTTCGGCATTGAACGCTTTTTCTTTTTCCTTGGTCATTTTTTCTTTTGGTGCATCAGGCACATCTATTGGCCCAAAAAATTCTTGGTCAAGTACTGAGGCCATTTGTTCGCGAACATTCGAATACAACGCCACAACATCAGCATTGAAATCAATATTTTTATAATCCATTTGCGTTTTATAATCTTTTATAATAATGATCAACTGCTCGACCATCTCTGATGACCACTGAAAGTTTACTTTCGACTTTTCTGCCATATTTTACGTATTCATTTATTACGATCATAAAATACGTTCGTTTCGCCAAAGCTTGTAAACAAATTTGAATGTAACACGTGTAGTCGTTTATATGCCAGCTTCGCGCCTTAAATAAATATAACATTGGACACGTGACAAATTCAGATATATCGTCAGTTTATACGAGCCCGGGTCAATTTCAACCCTACTTTACACGGGTATTTCACAAATTTTTCACGCTTCAATACTTTGCCAACCCGGGTCAACCCTGGTCTTCCAAAGGGTGCCCCGGGTTGGCGTGCTAACCCGGCGGTCGTGTAAATGCTAGTAATGATTTATTAGTAGATGGGTTGACCCGTGTTGATGAGCTAGCCCGGGTCAACAGTCAACCCGGGCTCGTGTAAATGGCACCTTAGTGCTTTGATTTTAGCTTTCACCCATTCACCTAACATGAATTTGAAAAATGTTTAGTAACTTGTTATATCCAGATGGTGCTACGCATACCAGTCACATCACCTGCTCAAGAAACATGAAATGACAAATATATCTTTTAAAATACCTATATTTTATTTTGGAAAGAACAATTTCGATATTTCTCTTACTTGTAGTTGCAAGTTTTTCGGCCAGTTCTTGGAAGACTTTGTCACGCAATTCTCGATTTTTAAATTCTGGGCAGCGTACATCATAAAGGCAAGGATAATCGGGCCAAAAATCTGCCAATTTATCTTCCAGCATTGCTTCAGCTATTATTGAGCTATAATTTCTAATTAGCAGCAATTTTAAAAAACACTTGAGAAAAACGACGATTTTTTTGAGAGCAAACATGTTTCGACATTATCAGAATGCCATCTTCAGTGCAGAATGGTTAGTGTTAGGTAATATGATATGTAATATGATATAAATACATTAATTACAATGAATAGGATTATGATTCAGTTACTAAATATAAAATATTTAAAAGGAAAGAAAATAAGTATTAAGAACTTATAACAAAAATATAATTATAAAGTAAATATAGTGTTAGTGGTGAACTTGGATATTTAAAGATTAGTTTTATTAATGTAGAGTTTTAATGCAGGAAGCTCCACAATAAAACTAATCCATTTAAATATCCAAGTTCACCACTACAACACTATATTTACTTTATAATTATATTTTTTGTTATAAGTTCTTAATACTTATTTTTCTTTTCCTTTTTTGTAAATATTTTATATTTAGTAACTGAATCATAATCCTATTCATTGTAATTAATGTATTTATATCATATTACCTAACACTAACCATTCTGCACTGAAGATGGCATTCTGATAATGTCGAAACATGTTTGCTCTCAAAAAAATCGTCGTTTTTCTCAAGTGTTTTTTATTATTGAGCTGTTTGCCGCCATGTTAGTAGTATAATAATAAAAACAACGCAAACTGCGCATGTGCATTAGCTGTTAAGTGCTGAGCTGCCAACTCAGATTGCGCGCACACTGTGAGGCAATGTTCGCTCCTGCCAAAAATATTCAACATGTTGAATATCCGACGCCGCCAGCACGTGTGACCAGAATCACAAAAAACGACACAGCGCACTTGAGGAAACGGCTTACGCCAAGAGCTACAAGTGACGTTCAGCTCAGCTGAGATCTCTAGTGTGCGCCGGGCTAAAAACGCTTATTTTATTCGTCAATGGCCAGATCAGTGGACAGTCTGGAATGGTCTCGACTGATAATAAGGGTGGCCGGACGTATAAGAGAGTCCAATTGCTATCTTACAATTGGTTCATTTGAATTTTTGTTTTATTGTGATTGGTTTGACGGATTTCGACTCATAGCCAACTGAACTAACATAGTCAAGTTCACTGTCTGAAATGAATGTTTGATCGTTTCTATGAGGCGCCGTTCGTTGCAAAAATCAAAAATGTTATTCTCATGTATTGAATTGCTCTCATCATACATTGAATTCGTTATCCACATGATTCATAGACTGAAATCCTTTCATTCCATATTAAAAAGCCATAGACTTTTGATTTTGCTAAATTTTCACTTTGTTTTTGTAAAAATCTCACTTTGTTTTTGCATAAATTTCACTTTGTTTTTGTATAATCTCACTTTGTTTTTGTGAAAATCTCACTTTGTATTTGTAAAATTTTACGTCAATTTTTTTACTGCACGTAATAATACCAAAATGGCGGCAGAAAATGTGATATTTCGATTGCTTGTAATCGTTTGCATGTGCTGTTTCTATGCTCATGCCATCGAAGAAGATATTTGTGAGTATTTTCAATCCTTAAAGAGAACCTGCAACAAAGCAGACCGACTATGGACCTCAAATGATGTCAATTTGTTGGAGTTCATTCGACGAAAATTGCATGATCAATTGAGCATTCTTGTTTACTTCGTTGAAAGATGTAACGAACATGAAATACGCACTGGACTTCTTCAAAACTTGTATAACAGTTTGCTTCTACTGTACCGACATTATTCGTTTAGTATTGAGAGATTCTTGCCAGAACATGAAAATGAATTTTATTCGGAAGTAGAGAGAACTGGACAAAGAGGAAGACCCAGGTATGAATGTTTCAAGAAAATGTCACAAATGGGCACAAATACAACTACTTTGAGTAAAAAAACACCTGCGAGACCAATTTTTATATATAATGCTGAGGGTTGTTTATCTGATTTATTCCTTTATTTAATCAAAAATGCTGAATTACTCGTCAACCTATTCAATAGGTTCAATGCATCTTTGTCTTTGTTTTAGTTATTCTATCACGTGTGGCCAACTTTGGCAATTGCGCCGTGCAGGGATGTCATGCTCTGCAATTGCCGATACGTTAAATGTGAATAGAACAACTATCTACAGACTTCGGAAAAAAATTGGAATAAATACCAACGAAGCTTACAGATTTTCTAACATAGCAGATGCAGACCTGGATGATATTTTGACTTCCATACTACACAACAGTCCAAATGCTGGTGAAACGTTTGTCGGAGGAAGCCTGAGAGCTCGAGGGATTAGAATCCAAAGATGGAGACTGAGAGAAAGATTACAAGTATTTTTCATTTGATCGCTAATCAATAATTAATGACAGTCACTAAACTTTTTAAATGCATGTATACCTATAGTCAACCTTAGAATGAATTGTTTTTTAGATTTTAGATCCCATTGGACGAGCTTTTCTTAGAACACAGTATAAGACGACGAGTATATAACATTACAATCCCAAATGTTTTGTGGTATGTATCATGTTTTACAAACTACGAATGCATGGATAGAATCAGAAGTATACCGTGATAATTAAATAATTAAAGTAAGGCGCAATACGATATCTATTTAGGCACATTGATGGGAATCACAAACTGATTGCATGGAGATTCGTTCATCACGGCTGCATTGATGGCTTTAGTAGGGCTATCGTGTACCTAATTTGTTCGTCAAACAATAAAGCATCGACTGTACTCAGCCTTTTTCAAGATGGTGTGGAACGATTTGGTCTACCGTCGAGAGTTCGCGGCGACCGCGGTGTGGAAAATATTGATGTTGCGAGGTATATGATTGCAAATAGAGGCCTCAATAGGGGAAGCTTTATATGTGGACGTAGTGTCCACAATCAAAGAATAGAAAGATTATGGAGTGAAGTTAACAGGATCGTGAATTCTGTTTTCAAAAATCTATTTACATTTATGCAAAACTGCGATATTTTGGATGCAACAAATGAAATGCACATATGGCCGCTTCATTTCGTCTTTTTGCCAAGAATAAACACGTGCCTATACGAGTTTGTTTCACAATGGAACAACCACAGTTTAAGTTCAGTGCAAGGGAAAACCCCCATGCAGCTTTGGCATTCTGGAATGATAAGGAATATGAATCATTACAACGACATTCAAGGAGTTGGTTTAGATGTATATGGAATTGATGATTTCGAAGATGCAGACTTTTCTGACTTAAATAATAACGTTGAGGTTCCAGCATTTGAATTTTCACCAAATGAAGTAAGGATGCAGCAATTAAATGAACAAATACACCCGTTAGAAGATGATGGCAATTTTGGTGTAAATCATTTCATAAACACAACGAATTTCCTTAACAATATTATTCCACAGCTACATTCGGAACATAATTAATATTGTCACAACAAAAAACTGCTTTTTTAAACAAGCAACAAAACATTTGTTCATAAATTTAAACTTGTGTTAGATAGAAATAGCAAAATGACGTCCTTGAGAATGCTAAAATATAAATAAGTATTTCAAGATACATAACCAACTGTTAATATTTTACAAACATTGAGCAAAAGTGAGAAATCTTCATTGAAATACTCAATTCCCTCCCCCAAAATGTTTTGTAGTCAGATGCTTTAAATAGCAATTTAGCAACTCATTAAAAAACAATGTTCATTTTAAAAACAAAGAAGCGAAACATGATCCTATTAGCATTCCATTAAGGGATCCCAAAACCTCTGCAATTTAGAATGGCGAAAATCATTGAATTTCTGAATTCCACATAAGACTGATGACATGTTGGAAGATATAAAATGGCACCACAAGTATTTGATTTTGGGTACTTCGACAATTCACCATCATTTTCAACATGGTGCAAGAATTTCAACTCAGGAGTAAAGACAATAGGTGGAATAACCTTGTATCCTGATGCAAAATAAATAATGTCAGAAAACGTTATGCTTGTTTCTCCCTCTTCGATATCCACTAAAAGATCCTGCCAAAATGACAGTAACCTATTTTCCAACTCATATTTGTTGGACCCAACTTCACTTCGGTTTATAATGAAAAGACTTTCCATTATGTCACCAGTAATAATCTGGGCTGTATAACACATTTCGGGTTTAAAAGCAGATGGATTTTCAGTCATACTTTTTAAAATGCCAAAAGAATCCAACCCTTTTTTGAAGCTTTCTAAAGGTGTACGGGTTCTACCTAAAACATACCATGAAGCAGAAGCCTTCACAACGTTTTTTACATCTTCCAATGTCCTTACCATCTGGAAATTTCCCGAGAAATGAAGTAGTGTTTCTATGTTAGAAGAACACATCAAATTTTGCGCATCCTCAACTGTTTTGGCTTGAAGTAAGTTTTGAAGATTCATTCGAATGTCTATGTCATCAATATCAAAAACAGAAACAGAAACTTTGTCTGGGCACCCAATCAGACATTCAAAAAGGATAGGTCTGAGGCACCTTGGCCCAATTCCACAATGAACAAGAGATATTGCAAAAAATTGTCCTGCCAGAAAGTATTCAGATTCCTCCAAACATCTTCCATTACAAGACAACATTTTTTTCTCATTGGGGCCAGTAAATAACTCAGAATTAGTAATATATTCCAGCACAAGAGTTACAAATTCTCTCATTGGACCACCCTGGTCAACCGCACCTTCAGAAACGCCTATGTCATCAGTAAATTTCACTGACATCCTATTTTCTGGACTAAATGACTTTCTCAACATTGCACGTTTTGTTCCTTCCCAAATACTATTTCGACAAATATTAAACTTTGAAATTTGAGAATTAGAAATGCTTTGTGACTTTTGCTCAAGAATTTCTTTAAGATTTAATTCGTCAAAATTGGAAGGGCCAACACTTGTTGCAGACTGATTTTGATCATCGTTATCTTTAACATCAACAGCATCAACAATTATATCACTATTGACTTCATCAAAGAGTAGTGATGCATACAAATCATCAAGGCAGCAATCATTACCTTCCACTAAATTTCCAGGATGTTGCAAACAATTTTCACTTGGATGATCTGCTGCTTTTTCATGATGCTCTGTTACATCTCTGCTTTGGAACACATTCCTCATTTCAATTCTACAAAAATGCAACAAAACAGTAATAATTTGTTCAGAATGTGAAAGATTTAATGCGCATATGCAACAAGTTTAAACACTATTGCAGCCTACCCATCAATACTATCTGATATCTTTTGTTTCTTTGAACTCTTGTTTGTACTAGTGCAAGATTCTTCAGAATCCAGTCTTCTTGATGTAGAAGGTAGCTCATCAAAATCTTCATCACTACTACAAGACTCAATCTTAAAAAAATGTGCGATAAGTAAGCACAACAGCAAAGCTAGCCAAAAAACATAAGTCATCTAAAATAATAATACCTTTATTCCCACCAGACTTTTAGATGGTTTGAGATAAATGGATTTTGTTGCAAATATTTTACTTAAAATGTCAGGTAGAAGATTGACATTGCATTTCACTTTGCAAGTCAATTACACATTTTCACATTGCGAGTCAACTTCTTGTCTATTCACTGCAGCAGCCCCACGAGGACGAAATATCGACGAAACCTCGGATTCGACATTATTAAAAGATGCAGCATTAGTATTCTGCGAAGCATCAAATGCTCGTGACAAACTATCCCGAAAGTTTTGGCTGTTAATTATTGTATCAATGATAGAGTAACTGCTCGTTTCACTGCCCGCCATTTTGTTATTATGAAATTGCTTATGATGAATATGATAAATATTTTGAAAATTATGCAAAACCACATCGAGATTTTCAGAAAAACAAAGTGAGATTTTCACAAATTAAAGTGAGATTAAACAAAATCAAAGTGCGATTTATACAAAAACAAAGTGAGATTTTTACAAAAACAAAGTGAAATTTATACAAAAACAAAGTGAGATTTTTAAAAAACAAGGTGAAAATTTAGCAAAATCAAAAGTCTATGGCTTTTTAATATGGAATGAAAGGATTTCAGTCTATGAATCATGTGGATAACGAATTCAATGTGTGGTGAGAGCAATTCAATCCATGAGAATAACATTTTTGATTTTTGCACCGAACGGCGCCTCATACGTTTCATAGTAATTTTTATAAGCATGATAGAAAATAAACTACAATCAGATGGAATTTATGGAAATCTTTTTCAAATTCATATATTGACATGAATACTGCTGTCGAAACTGTGAATTTTTTCAAGAGGGTGCAAAATTTATGGATAAATTGTAAATGCTTGGCAAAGACGATCTCGCGAGCGACATTTCAGTCATTGATGTTCAAAAGAAAGCCAACATTGTTTTGAGTTTTATCGGCAGAAATTTTACATCCAAAATAGTAAGTAAAGGACAAGTGAAGTGTATGCATGAATGTAATATATCAAAGTCAATTTATGCGAGTGTGTGATGCGATTTATGTCAATATGGCATATGGTAAGCAGATTGATGCTTCTAAAATTGTTGTTGCCAAAGGACGTTTAGCTATGATTTCTTTAGTGCTTGGGGAATCGTGGCTGTTATATGGCAGCGAAATCCTACATTCCTGCAAATATATTTCAATGGACAAAAAATTTGTAGCCATAAGGCGCCATACTATCATTTACTTTATCATAAACAAATGTTTGGGGCTTTTCAGTTTATGATCAGTGATCATTCAATCATTGGACAGTTATACTACATATTGTTTAAGATTTGAGAAAACTAACATTGATTACATGAGAAGCTGTTTACTATAACCTGTGATTTTGAGTCTTCTGATCCATGAAGCTTTTTATTTTGACAATTTGACTGAAATGGTATTAAACCTGAGTATTTCACATACATGAAATGTTGTCCCATGTCACATATTGACCCCTTTTGTAACTGAACACCTCATGTAGAGATGTAAAGGTGTGTTAATCTACGGCTCATACCAGATTGTTTGCCATAAATTCCAAAGGGCTATTTATTAATTTATTGTTAAAGCACAAGCAAAACGACATATATTTAATAGTTTAAGTTACATAAAGAGCGTATCCAAATCGTTTCCCCAATCAGCATCAGAATATCCAATGATCGTTTGCTTTTCTTCATTAGCTTTAAATACTAGACCATGATTAATAGTCCCTTTAATATATCTTAAAACTCTTTTTACTCCTTTGAAATGTTCCATTCCAGGTCTAGACATGTATCTTGCCAGAATTCCAATTGCACTTGCTAAATCGGGACATGTTGCCGTAGAAACATATGTAAGGCATCCAATCATCTTTTGGTACTCTTGAACATTAATGGGCTTTTCATCTTCGGATAATGCACAAAACTGTTTTCCTGCTTCCATTGGTGTACTGACGGGTTTACAATTTTCCATTTGAAATCTCTTGAGAATACCTTCAAGATATTTTGGTTGGCTAATGGTCAGCTTTCTTGACTTCTGGTCAAGTTTAACTACCATGCCGAGAACATAGTTCACTTCACCCAAGTCTTGAACTTTAAATCGTTTGCCAATTAATAACTTTTCTTTATTTAACATATCGATATTGTTGGAGAAAAGTAAAATATCATCTACATGAATGGACAGAATGACAAAATTGATTCTCCCATCCTTTGCTTTGATCGATTTCATATACAAACATTGGTCTGAATCGGCTTGTTTGTACCCACTTGTCTTCAAGTAATGATCTATTGAGGAATTCCGGCATCGAGCTGCTTGTTTTAAGCCATACAAGCTCTTTTTCAGTTTGCATACATGATTAGGATTACCTTTATCAACATACCCATCTGGCTGACGCATGTAAATCTCTTCATTCAGATCTTGTAGAAACGCTGACTTTACGTCCATCTGATGAACTTCCCAATCCAGAGAGTTAGCCAGAGCAAGTAAAGACCTCATTGAAGTGTTGCGTATCACAGGCGAGAATACCTCCTGGAAATCAACTCCCGCAGCTTGCGAGTATCCTTGGGCTACCAGACGCGCTTTGAATTTCTCAATCGATCCATCAGCATTCCGCTTGACCTTGAAAACCCATTTACTTCCAACTACATTCTTTCCACTGGGTAAAGCTACCAGCTCCCACGTTTTATTCTCCATCAGTGAAATATACTCAGCATCAGTGGCTTCAATCCATTCCTTTTTCTGATCACATGACCATGCTTCATTAATGTTCCTGGGTTCGTTAATATCTGCAGTGAGATCATCTGCAACATATACCTCTTCATCGGGGTATCTAACAGGGGGTCTTCATTCTCTTCGCGAATTCAGATTCTTAACTTGTTGCATAAAAGTTTCTTCATAAGTTTCTCCCACTGGATTATTAGGTTCAGGATTAAAAATATTATCTTCTCTTACAGCACGATCATCATTTTCTTCGTTATCATCATCTGTTTGCATAAAAGGTGTCTGTATCTCAAAAGTATTAGCAGTGTTTGAATTCATATTGTCAAAGTTGTAAAACTTCCATTCATCAAAAATTACATCTCGGCTCTTGATGAATGACTTTGTTTCTGGATTGTACAATTTGAATCCTTTTGTACCTTCAGGGTAACCCACAAATATGCATTTTGAGGATTTAGCGTCTAATTTCTTCCGTTTGCTTTTAGGAATATGGTCATAAGCTAAGCAACCGAATACCTTCATGCTTGACACATCGGGCTTATATCGAAAGAAACATTCAAATGGTGTTACCTCTTTCACAGCAGTGTTAGGACTTCGGTTTCTTATATAGGTTGCTGTGCTCACAGCCTCAGCCCAGAATTCAGTGGGAATGTCTGCATGAGCCATCATCGATTGAGCAGTTTCTAATAGTGTCCTGTTCATCCGTTCAGCCACTCCGTTTTGTGCTGGATTGTGGGGGACAGTGGTTTGATGTGTTATGCCTTTTTCTTTCAAGTATGAATTGAATTCTTTAGAGCAGTATTCACCTCCATTATCAGTGCGCAAGATATTCACCTTCTTTCCAGAATTCTCAGCATAGTTTACAAATTCCTTGAACTTTTCCAGGACTTGGTTTTTCTGTTTGATAAAATATACTTGTGTATATCGGGAAAGGTCATCAATAAATGTGACAAAATATAAAGATTTTCCAAGAGATGGTATCTCCATTGGACCACACACATCACTGTGAACAATTTCGAATGACTTCTCTGCTCGGTGAGGGTCGTTCTTTGGATAGGGAGTCCTATGTTGTTTCCCCAAAATACATGATTCACACACAGACTTGATTTCATCTTCTTCAAAATTATTCATTCCTTTAACCATATTACCTTTAGCAAGTTTCGAAATGTTATCATATCCCAAATGCCCAAACCGACAATGCCATAATTCTCCCTGAGACATTTTCTTCGCAACGTTGACTTGCTCATCACCGATAGTTTTTAACACAAATAATTTTCCACATATCTCACCTTTACCAATAACTTTCCATTTCTTGAGATTAAGCATTCATTTCCATGAAACTTTATTGAGGCGCCCAATCTTGTCATTGCTCTTACAGATAACAAGTTTTTTCCTAATTCTGGAAGATACAGTACTTCACGAAGACTAATATTTTGGGTACGACCATTGATATCTGCCAAAATTTTGCATGATCCTTTTCCGTATGCTGATATGGTTTGATCATCACCTAGGTTTACAATGCATGGTTTCTTGAAATCCACATAATCATATAGACAGTTCTTTTGGTATGTCATGTGCTGAGTAGCCCCAGAGTCTACAATCCAGTGGACATTATCTCCACAGTTGGATGTAATTAAAGCTTCTTGATCAAGATCAGCTTCATCTTTCTCTGCACAATGGACGGATCCCTTATTTTGATCACCATGTTGTTGCTTATTCCCTCTTTTATAACGTTCTGGACAGTCTCTAGCAGTGTCCCTTTTTCTTGTAATTGTGACAAACTCCTTGAAATTGTTTCCTAAGTTTGACATCAGCACCCCGAATGAGGTCCACCAGGCCGATCTCTTGTATCTGGCTCACGATCGAGTCGGAAGACGCACATTCAAATACGCATTGATGGTCGTCGACGTAGTTAGTCAGTATAAGGAGGCCCAGGCAATCACAGACAAGACAGCCACCCAGGTTGGGAAGGCGTTAGAGTCTATTTATGCCCGTGGGCCTCTTCGATGGCCTAAAGTTTTACAAGTCGACCCTGGCTTGGAGTTCTGCGGGGCTATGCAAAAAGTATGTGATAAAAATGGTGTCACGAGTCGATGGGGTAAGGTCAGAGTTCATAGAGATCAGGGGATGGTAGAAAGATTTAACCGAACTTTTGCAGAGCGATTGTTTGTTTACCAGTATCATCGCAAGCTGGCTGAACCCGGAACTCGGAAGAAAGAATGGGTATCAAGATTACCTGAGGTGGTTAAAGCGCTCAATAATGAAACTACCCGTTTGAAGGGCGAAAAGCCCTCCCTATCGATTCGGAAGAGCGTTAAGGCCAAACCTGCTGCGCCGGCGCTTTGTCCAGTTGGTTTCAACGAGCGACGCTTGCCATCGGATGTTATGGTGCGGTATTTGTATGCCTCAGGCGAACTCGAGAGTGGCGAACAGCGTAGGGCGACTGATCCTATCTGGAGTGTGACCTCCCACCAAGTCGAGCGGGCTGTTATTGAGGGCGAGAAGCGCGTGTTGTATTATTTGAGCGATGGGCCCAAGCGCGCGTTTGTGCACAAGGAGCTCCAAGTGGTGCCCTTTGGCACCGAAACACCGCAGGCTTAGCTGTGGAAAGCATTTG